CTGCTGGCTTCACTGAATGACTTCTACAATGCACACATGATTGAATGTGTGTTAAAGAGCAAGCAATGATAACGAGCGCAGAAGTTATTTCTGCTCAAAACAGAAGAATATGAAAGCCAGGGAGGGAGAGAATTATAGAGTATAAACGAATATAACTGTTCCATTCTTATTAGGAATGACTATAGAGATATAAATCTGACTGTCAAAATATTTTACATTTTGCTCTAGAAGAACTTAGATGTTTAGCATCCGGATGGGCATGTCATGAAAGGTGCAGTCTCAGGTTGAAAACGCAAACATTTCTTAGCCAAATATGTCTTAAGTAAAAATTCTTCCATCAAGAAATGTGTATCTCCCAACACAGCTTGTAGAGTACACACATGAAGATAGGGGTGGGACATATTTACTAATGAGAAACTTCTCCTTTCTATAATTTTATTTAATACTGAAATGCTCCAGTAAAAGAAAGAGAAAATAAGAAAAGCATGCCACATTTTCCTTTCTCATATACATTTCAGTAAATGTAAAATAATAAATGTAAACCAATTTAAAGTACATTTCACTTCCTTTCTAAAACCACTAAGTGTAGTAAAATGTGTTTTTCTCATTTTTCCTCAGAGGGCCCTATGCTTTATTGATACTACAGTGTATGAAGAGTGTAGACCTAGGCACTAGTTACAGGACATCACAGTGCTGCTGTGAGCTTATTTTGTTAATCCAGAGTTCTGGTTCTCTGTGGTTACTTGTAGGAACTGTATAGACACACATGGCATGATTATTCCTTACCAGCTCATTGCTGCCATCCTCATCAAAATCCTCCTCTATCCCATCAGTCATATCTTCTCCATCCCCATCTGCATCTGGCCCTCCTTCAATTGGCTCTTCCGTAGAGTTATCTGCATTCTCTGATATGCATTCCTCTTGAATCAAATCAGCATTATCTTCCATTTGTTTCTTTTGGGCTTCTGTAAGGAAAACATACTCTATAGAGATTCAGTAGCCTTTCCTATGGTGGGGAAGTAAAGTGGTCTGAGGAAGAAACCTAAGCTTTCCATCTCCAGATGTACTAGCATTGTAAAAATTAGTATGATATTATCTATGAGGCAAATATGATCAAAAACTTTGTTTTCAAAAATCAGTACATACATCAACCACAGTATCAACATGGTCATCGATCCCATGCAGTGGATGAAGGCTTGATTTACCAGTGGATCCAGCTTTGTGATTTTCTGGAGTTGACTTTGCCTTGTCACTATATATTTATTTATTTGCTGCCAATGAGAAGTACATAAATCTCTATGCTCTGAGAAGAAGAGAGGCTGTTAATTGCCAATAAATTAACAAGAATTTGAATAAGTTTGCTCTTAATGTATCTCAATGACCATACAGATAACAAATCCTTCTAGACAGGAAAACATGTTTATTTATGGAGTAAAGTAACAGTTTCTCCTTATTGGTATATCCAGCTGAGGTAACTGGAGAATGCCTCTTTCCAATTTCCCAGATACAGGCTTCCTATTTTTTCTGCAAAGTGGTGAAAAGAAAGACCATCTTCATGGAGGCCCAGAGAATTTGTTCTGGTTAGCTTAGTGCAAATAGCTGGATTGCTGTGATTAGGTATTGCAAAACACCTTGATATGTTGAGGAACTGCAGAAATCCGGAGGAAGACTGAAGGAGGAATGACAGAGACTGACTGGCCAGAAGAGTGGTTGGAGGGATCAGAGTCTCATTCCTATGCACATCAGGAGATTAGATGAAAAACTTTATGCACTCAAGTGAATGGGGGCCAGAGAATTGGTTGCTTATAGCTGGAAAAACAATGTCTTTTCAGTCTGAGGGTGATCAATGATGACATTTCTAGAACAAAAACATTTCCTTGTAAGACTGTTCTGTAACACTAGTTGTGCATCACCTATCTTGTTGGACAGACAATGAATCAAGGATTGCCTTGAAGCTCTATATTTTGTCATCTCTATGAACATATTATTTTACCATAAATTATTACTAGCTGCACATGCTATTCAAATCTGCTTGTATTTTTCTGTACTATAGACTTAAACCAAGACATTTGTTTTCCCTTTTGCCTTTGTACATTTGTTTTGCCTCTTATGTTGATCTCTTAAGTCTTTGCTAGTCTCTAGTCATGGAATCATAGCATATTAAGGGGTTGGAATGGACCTTATAGATAATCTTGTTCCAACTGTCCCTGCCATGGGCAGGCACACCTCCCAGTAGACTAGGTTGCTCAGGGCTTTATCAATCCTGGCTTTGAACACTGCCAGAGTTGAGGCATCCACAACCTTCCAGGGGAATCTGTTCCAGTGTCTCACCACCCTCACAGTTAAAAATTTTTTCCTAATATCTAACCTAAATTTCCCTTCTTTCAATTTGTACTGATTAGTGTCCTATCACTACAATTCCTAACAAAGAGTCCCTCTCTGGCTTCCCTGTAGGCCCCCTGTGGACACTGGAAGGTTGCTATGAGGTCTCCATGCAATCTTCTCTACTCCAGGCTGAACAGTCCCACCTTTCTCAGCCTGTCTTTGTAGGGAAGGTGCTCCAGTACTCTTATCAACTTCGTGATCCTCCTCTGGACCTGCTGCAACAGTTCCATATCCTTCTTATGCTGGAGGCACCAGAACTGTATGCAGTACTTCAGGTGGGAGCACTTGTTGTCAAAGTCATTTACTAAAGACATAGAACAATTAAGCTTTACTCCCTTAGTCTCATAATGTCTTCAGAAAGATTCTTGCATAAAAAAAAAGTAATCTTAGGTAATTGCTTTGTCAATACTGTAGTCACATGTACTAATAAAAGATTCAGTCCATGGGGAATCTGTTGGTGAGGTGCTTCATAAAATACCATGCTAGTTATAAGTCATTCTGTTACTTGCCTTACTGCACAAGGAAATGTGGATTGAGTCAGCTATCCCTGTATATCTGACCTCACCAGCTCCTGTCTCAAGCCAGTTCTGAGGTCACTCAGCTGTAGCAGGGACAACTGAATCAGCTTTGGTCAAAGCATTTGAAAAAAGGATGCTGAAATGATAGACTTGGTACATTTAAATGGGAAGTCTTCTAGGATGCAGTTGCTAAAAAAATATTATTTACTTAATTGTCTTAATGAGAACTTACTCTTAGAGGAGTCTAGAATACCATTTTAGTACCTAACTTCTTTGGGCTCTGCTGAGAAGCTAAACTTAAGGTACTAACTTTCAGCCCCAATCTCGAATATTACAGGGAGAATATTCTCCTCTAACAATTTTTCCACATCAGAACAGCTTATTCCCAGCTTCCTGATACAGATTTTTACCAAAAAAAGTCACTATTCCTATTTTTACTATGTACAGGAAATCATTTAATCTATATTCCCCCTATTGAAATGGTCAGGGAAAATAATAAAAAAAGACAGAACACAAACTATTACTGTAAGGACAGTTTTCACACAGCTGTAGAAGAGTAACCAGTGTATGCACTGAGCTCATCCATCTTGTAAACTATCACATTCCTTCAGATGTAACAACTTTTGAGGTTAAAAATTAAATATTCTTCATGAGAGTGATTCAAACTTAGAAAACCAAAAAGGCAAGATGATGGCTTGATTTTTGTTTTGTATAAACAAGACACGCATCCTCTCTCTGATCTCAGTCTTTGTGAGGCCACACCTTCTGACAGAAGAAAGTAAGAAATAATATTGCCAGACCATAAAGAAGAAACAGAATCATCTCATCATCTCACATCTGACATTGTAAATGAAGTAGTTCAGCTACTGAATTTTAGCTGAGGAAGCAATCATCTGCAGGCTAATCACCCAGGCTGCATAACCCTCTTCATCAGCTCAGGAGACTTAAATGGGTATCTGTTCTGACTGGTATCTCTGAGGTGTTTTTCTCCTCACACCCTCTGATGAGAGGCAGGGAATATGGGGGATGGGGTCTGCACCTGATGTTTTAAAACATCAAGATTTTGAAGCTGGTCTTTAGTCTCTGAAGATATTTATTGCTTGTCTTCAAAAGGCATAACAGTGTGATTCAATACAAATCAACGTTTTCCTCTTTGAGCTGATTTCTCTTTAAATGAGTTCACTACAGTCCTTTAGCAAAAGTGAAAATTGGATGTCAAAGTATAATGATGTGTAGATTGTTTTGCATAGTAATGGATTTTATATAAAACCTCCCTAAAGTAGGGATGCACCATCTCAGAGTATTTCAGTACACAAGTGATTCAATGGAGTGCCTTGCAATTACATCTTCATTGATTATACCAACTTCTATCTAACTTGCATGAAATACCAAGTAGAATATAATGAATACATATTGTATACAGTTCTCCTGAAAGAGATAATTACCTTAGACTTGAAAAAAGCCCTCAGCTTTGTGAGATAAGCTGTAACATCTGAGGGATTGGTCCTTGTCTGTTAACTTAGAGAATGATTGTAAAGAAGAGATAAGTTATTATTTTTTAAGAATTTATTTGTTTTAAGAATTTTATGTTTGTGGGGTTTTTTTGTAAGTTACTTGGGAACGAGGGATCCAAACCTAAGTATCTATTTTCCTGTGTCAGGTTCATGACCCTCAACTGCTAATTCCCAGCAATGTTTTAGTCTTGATGAAACTCTCTTTAATTGTCCTGGTGGGATTTTTGCCTTCATCTAACTGACTACTGCCCAGATACTCAGGCAGTTCTAGGTTCTGAGGCAGAATTTCTTTCACATATTTCACACAAAATACATTAAATGTTTTCATCACAGAATGGAGGGGGAAAAAATCATTGAGTTTTTCATGAGATAAGGCTTCCATTTCCCCACTGGTTCTCATCAAAATCAGCTCGCTAGTACTCAGCTCCTGTACAAAGTTGTACTATGTGATCTATAAGGAAATATCAAATAAAATACTGTAGAGAGTCATAAGAATTGAGACTGTTTTCCATATATACCATTGTGAAAATACAACCTTGTAACTCTCAGCATGGCTTTAAAGTGCTGCCAGGTAAGATCATTCAGCTAACAAAATGATCACCGCAATGACAGTAATAAAGATGTTGATTAAATTAAAAAGTAGTGTTGGATTTTGTCATTCCCAAGGTTTGCCTCAAAACAAAACATTTTAAGCCAGAGAAAAGTTGAACTAGAGGTGTGGCCAGTTTTACAGAGAGGCTACAGCTTCACTCAATAGCCAAGGCTGGGAGCTCTGGACTCTCCTAGATCAATCCCTCTTGAAATCAGGGACAAATTCAAAGTTTGTGCAGGTCTATGGGGCCTCAGCCCAATGAGTTTTGAACAACTCCAAGGATGGAGCCATTGCTGTCTCTCTAGGCAACCTGCTGTACTGGTTAACTGCATTTTTTTTCTTTGTATCAATCAGAATTTTTCCTTGTGGCAACTTGTGACTATTGTCTATTGCTTATTGTCCAGGCAATAATTCTTGCTATAGACCATCTAATAATTCTTAATGTGGATAGCACGAGCATCCCCATTGTCGACAACCTCTAACTTAATTCTGTCTGGTCAAGTTTTTACTATTTTTTTTTCCCAGAACATCTAGAAATTATTTTTTCCCTACTACACCATAGAAAACAATTCTTGAAATGATGGTACATGCTCTATGAAGAATATTCATTTATCCTTCCAGTAATTTTACCTGAGAGTTAATTTACCTTGCCTCAGGCCTCCATTATTAGCAAAATTTCTGAAAAGCTTCCATTCTCTTTGGTCTGTCTGCTTGACTGGTAACTAGCTTCTAATTTAATTCATTTGACTACAAATTGCTTTTACCTACCTGCTTCAGCTTTTTGCTGCTTTTCGATCTTTTCCAGTCTCCCTAGCAAGGAGTCAATTTTTGTTTTGATTTGGGTTAATTCCTTCTTGATTGTCTGCAATTCATCCGATTTCACTGTAGAAAGAGAGCAAAATGCAAAACATGAAATAAACTATATTTGTGGTAACCTTCCCTCCCACTCAAAGCAAAATATGTTCTTTTTTCTTTTCTCTCTTGTCTAGTAAAGTCTAATCCCTCATTTTAGTATTTTCAGATTTAGCTTTTTAAATTAACATTGTTAGGCAAAAATGCTGAATTCTAGGAAATCACAGGATTCTAAGTGCTAATGGCAAGAGGTGAGGTGAGGTGCATTGTTCTGTGATAAGCATTTCAGGCAAACATCTCAAGGGCATTCTTAGTAAATACAAGTAACTTTTATTGAAAAACAGCCTATAGTGCAAGAATGATTCAAATATGTCAGTTCACGGTTCTGCAATGCTATTTTGCTGGACTATTTTGTAATAGTAGTGACAATAATAAAAAGATCCCTCCCAGTAACAGTATGTATTTGTCAGCAAGAGTGAATGGTAATGTAAGTGCTAGGGCAGTCAGGAATGCAAAGTTATGTTCCAGACAAAAAACTTCACTGCAATAGATGTTCAAAAGCTTTCAGTTCTGGTAATTTCTTGCAATTTTTCCAGCTGTGGATAACATATGAAAATATTTAATTTTATGATCACATCGAGGGACATGGAGGCAGCATCTATAAATTAATAGCTGAAGTTTCCAGATATTTGTTGCCTTACTCTTCATTTTTGTTCATTATTGCACTCACATTGTCTAACATAAGAAAGAGTAACTGATTTAGAGGTGTTTTGGTTTCCGATGAAACAGCACTGCAGCCCCCATAAATTGCCCCATTTTTATGGCATTATCAGGACATGTTTTTATTCTTGAAAAGTAGTCCAAACAAATGCACTTGCCCTGTTTTTGCTAGAATATCATGTCGTAAAGGTCAACAGGAGAAAATGGAAATCCTGTGCTAGCATGGGAGAATAAATCCATTTATAAAGTGCAAGAGTAGGTAACATAGCTGTCACTCTTGCAACTCCTGTAGTAAGAAGTGACCCATCTCCATGAGGGACTGACAATGGAAGAGCATCAAGCTGTGTTACTCATCCATCCTTACCATTGCTGAAGGAGGATGTGCACTGACTTTGGTGTGTGTATCTGGAGCATGGATACACAAAATAGGAAGGCTCTTATTGAGCCCAGGAAAAGGGATGTTCTGCTATAGCAAAGGACATGTTCCCTTTCTGTCAAAAGGTTCTCCTGACTGCGTCTTGCCATATCAGTCCTGTTCATTGACCCCTGGGCATGTACCTCATCATGGGGTCTTATGGGTAATTTGTATTGGGCAATCAATCTGACAATGAAGTGTGCAGACAAGTTATTGCCTGTTTCAATGGTAGTCAATGAGTATGTGTTTGCTTCAAATCAGCCTTGTTCAGAACTTACAGTGCATTCACTGAGGCATTTTATCTTAAACTTTGGGATCATGTCCATTATAGTCAGAACAAGTCAGCTAAAGGGCAGTAGGTTGCTATATGCAGTAATGTGCTTGTTTAATCATGTGCTCATATTGAGAAATTGCACTATCTTACACAATCATAGGCTGAAACCTCTGATCTCATCTTGAATAAATGGTAGGACTTAGAGAAAAGAGCATAAAACTAACCTTTGTGCTAGACTCTTATATGATGTACAGTATTTGATGGAATTATTTTGTGTATTTATAGAGCAAGGCCTTAAAATGTTCTTAGAGAAATAACGGGTCACTGTCCAATCCTCCAAATCTGAAATAAAATGTTAAGATTCTGACAACTGTATATTTAGAAGGTTACTGCTTCCCCAGGGGCATTGGCTGGTCCATGCTGGAGCAGCAAGGCAGCACAGATTCCAGGGTGAAATGGTGTGAATCTGTCCAATGGGAAATTCTAAGTGTTTGCAGCAACCCACTATGAAGCCAGCTGGCAACACATCCCATGCAGCCAAGCTGTTGTGTCAGAGATGCTCCTTTGAAGGAGCATCTGAAGGCTGAAGGGGCAACTGAAGGCTGGCCAAGTCTAAAAGGTCAAAACTCAGAAGTGACACTGCAAGGACCTAATGGTATTTGTTTCCAGTCTAAAAAGCAAAGCAGAAAACATTTGGACTCCAAGTTTGGTAAGGAAACAGGCACATATGTTCAACTCTGGTCAAACCTGCTGCACAGAGGCTTCCCTGTGGTGTCGCTGGAGAAACCCAGTTTGGGAAAAAGACCGCACCAGAGGGAACACAGACACCACAATGAGGATTTAAAGAGCAAAGTCGCTATAAAGGACTAAGGAGCTTTATTGCAACCTTGCAAAATTTTGCCATGCAAAAACTGTTTTCTCAAGGTTTTTTCACTGAAATTGCAACTTATCATTCACATGTAATGAGGAGATTCCATCAAACTCCGAGGGCTCAGTACTTGGCCTAGTCCTGTTTAAAGTCTGTTTTGATGATCTGGATTAGAGGATCAAGTGTACCTTCAGTAAGTTTGCAGATGACACTAAGTTGGGTGGGACTGTTGATCTGCTAGAGGGTAGGATGGCTCTGCAGAGGGATGTTGTCAGACTGGATAGACAGGCCAAGGCCAACAGTATGAGGTTCAACAAGGCCAAGTGCCTGGTCCTATACTTCAGTCACAACAACTAGCATTGCTACAGGCTAGGAGAAGAGTGTTTGGAAAGCTGCTCAGTGAAAAAGGTCCTTGGGGTGCTGATCAACAGCTGGCTGACTGTGAGCCAGCAGTGTGCCCAGGTGGCCAAGAAGGTCAATGGCATCCTGGCTCAAATCAGAAATAGTGTGCCCAGCAGGAGCAGGGCAGTGATTCTCCATCTATACTTGTCACTGGTGAGGCGACACCTCAAGTACTGTGTCCAGTTCTGGACCCCTCACTACAAGAAGGACACTGAGGTGCTGGAGAGTGTCCAGAGAAGGGCAACAAATGCAGCAAAGCTGGTGAAGGGTCTAGAGGATGTCATATGATGAGTGGCTCAGGGAGCTGGGGTTGTTTAGCCTGGAGAACTGTAGGCTCAGGGAAGATCCTATCACTCTCTACAACTACTTGAACACCTGACAGTAGCAGGCAATTAGTGACAGGATGAGAGGACATAACCTCAAGCTGGGCCAGGAGAGGTTCAGGTTGGACATTGGGAGTAATTCCTTCACAAAAAGTGTTTTTAAACATTGGAATGGACTACTTGGGGAGGTGGTGGAGTCACCATCCCTGGAGGTGTTCAAGGAGGGACTGGACGTGGCATTTAGTGCCGTGGTCTAGTTGACAGACTTGTGATAGGTCAAAGGTTGGTCTTGATCTTGAAGTTGTTTTCCACCCTTAGTGTTTCTGTGATTATGTGATCATACAGTCAATTGCTTCAAGTTAATACTAAAAGGGACTGAAAGAAAAAAGAGAAATCTGCAGAAGTTCCAATTTTCACCCTGTTTCCAACACTGTAATGGCGTAATTATTTGAGTTGCTTATTGTTTTAATTTGTAGGGAATTGCAGAAGTCTTCAAAATCATTCTTCTAGAGAAATTCCACTCTCAGTTATATTTTATTGGGTATTTCTGTAGTCATCAGCAATTATTAAAGACAAATTATGAAGGACCCTGATGGACTACAAGTTGATCATGAACCAGTAATACACCTTTGTGACAAAGAAGGCCATCATTAGGGGGGCTGCATTAGGGAGACTTTTGTCATCAGATTGAGGGTGGTGATTTTTTCACTCATCATGGTTTAATCTCAGCCAGCAACTATGCACTGTACAGTTGCTCATGCCCCTCCAACCCCAATCAGGATGTGAGGAAGAAGATGTGATGGGTAAAAGTGAGAAATCTTGTGGGCTGAGATAAGGACAGTTTATAAATTGAAATATTGTAACGACAACAACAACATTTATAATAATAATAATGCAATAGTGAAAAGGAATAACTCCAAGAAATAGAAGTGATGCAAATGAAAGCACCAACTGACTGATGTCCAGCCAGTCCCTGAGCAAAACCTGGTCAACCTTCCCCCAAATTTATTGCTGAGCATGACACTGCATGGTCTGGAACATCCCTTGAGGCAGTTTGGGTCAGGTGTCTAGGTATGTATCTTCCCAGGTCCTTGTACACCCCCAGACTGCTCATTGGTGGGGTTGGGTGAAAAGCAGAAAAGGCCTTGATTCTGTGTAAGCTCAGTAGTAACATAAACATGCCTGTGTTATCAATGATTCTAGACACAGCCCCATAGTAGCTTCTGTGAAGAAAATTAACTCTACCCCAGTCAAAACCAGCATACCCCTCTACTCAGCACTTGTGAGACCACATCTGGACAACTATGTCTAGTGCAAGGGGGAATGAAGAAAACAAAGCCAGACTCTTTTCAATAGTCTCCACTGAAACACCAAAGACCTTCAGCAGATAAGCAGGTAACCAAAGGCCAGCAGGTGATAGAAATACACATATTGAAAGGGAAAGAAATGACTAATGAAATTCCTCAAGCACTGACACTAAAATGGCTGAATATCTTAAAAACTTTGATGCAAAAAAGTTAATAAACAGACAAAATTTGCTGATGACACGAAATTGTTCACACTATTCAGAGTGAACTGGAATGGAAGGAGAGGACAGGTGATTTTAAGGAATGTTGCATTAGAAAAAGTGATGAGATGTAATTGCACTAAAAAAAAGTCCTACACTTGATTGAGTAACAGCAGAATTCTTACTCTTAGCATCAAAGCTCATCAGCAGAGAAAGACAGTGACAGAATTGTCCTTGGGTGTATTTGTAATCTCAGGTTGACAATAGGCTATCACTATAATGCAGCCATGAGAAAGAAAATGAAGTGCTAGGATGTGTCAAATGATGTATTGCTAAAGATGGAGAAGTATAATGTCTTTGTATAAGAACCTGGGGAGTACAAGTTGAACCCCTGAATTTTAGCAGATGTGTGGTGAGAAGGACAGTGAAGATAACAATAAGAATGGAAAGCCTATAGTGACAGAAGTACTTTGCTTCTTTGCCCCAGACGAAAGAAGGTAAAAAAACCTGCAAAACCTTTATGCTAAGACATAACAAATGAATATGAACAAATGAGAAAAAAAGTTAAGATGGAAATTAGAAGAAACAGAGACAGCAAAAGCCCCAAACCCTAACTACCTTTAAGATGCAGTTTAAAGGTTTAGATGATGTGGCTACTTGCAACAGCAAGAAATTTGATTCAGTGACCATTTCTAGCCCTTTGGGGCCTCCCAAAAATGCATCTTTCATTGAATCATCTGGCATCACAGGAGACAGGCTACACCCAGGTCAAAACATGAGATGTAAAATTGAGGCAAATCTAATTTTTAGAAATGAAAGTGCTGCTGTTGAATGACAGCTATATTAGTGAAACATTTTTTGCCATAACTACAAATTGATTCATCTACAAATCATGATTCAGATTTCTTTGTGAAGAAATGTTGTGTTTTTATTGAAGCCCTTCATGTTTAATTTAAAATATTTTATCATATTTTATTATTTTAGATGTCACTGAAAAATGGGTGACCTGATGAAGCTAAATAGAAACTGTGAATCAAAATGAATTCATTAATGAGTACATATTGTAACATCTTGTCTACTCCTTAATGTCAAGCACATAGGTTATAAAAGATTTGATTAATGTTTTCTTCCTGATTTCAGATGTGTAAAATGAAAGTGCACTGATAGTACTAACTATTCATATAGAATCACAGAATCATAGAATCATCAAGGTTGTAGTAGACCTCTAAGATCACCGAGTCAACCATTAACCTGCCACTCTTCTGTAACCCCCTAAACCATAAACTATATCCTCTAGCTTCAGGTCCAGATGCCTCTTAAACACTTCCAGGGATGGTGACTCCACCGTCTCCCTGAACAATCTATTTCAGTGCCTGACCATTCTAACAGGGAAAAACTTCTTCCTGACATCTAATGTCATTAGAATCAACAGTGCATTAGTTCAAGGGGTTCAGATTAGCAGTGTAGAGGAAGGAGCAACATAATATTGAATTGCTTTATTCCATAATTCTGTATAACCAGCTTTTCCAAGAAAATGGCAGAGGAAGCTGCAGAACACACATTCCCTTCTTTCCAACTTGAAGCCCCTAAGGGAATGGCTCCAATATTTCTCTGTTAAATGCCTTGCAATAAGCCGATTACATTCCTGTCCCAGTCAACAAAATCATGTTTCTGCCTTTATGATGGGCTGGCTGGACTTGACAAAAAGGGAAGTAATTCTGTGGGAAAATCAAGCATGAAAATCTGTATACTATGTGTCTGACTCCTTTTAAAGATGTGCTGCATGCAGGAAAAAATATTTCATGCAGTTTATTCCATCACAGTAAATAGTCTCTGCAGTTGCGTTCCAATAGCCATTGTGGGAACTGAGGGTAGAAACCCAACGGGGTCAAAATCTCAGCCCATGTTTTCAGTGATGTATCTTGCAGCTCTCCGTTCAGTGTTACAGAGCTGGATCCAAGGATGATCTTGTCACCTGGACCTCTAAGGCTGACATTTTTTAAATCCAGATCACACCTGAATACACTGAAGGACACTTTCATGGGGGCATAATGTTGTCTGTTAAGATCTTGATGCTCCTGATTGCACTTCCATTAAATAATTTACAGGTTCTGCAGCATTTGCCATGTTATGCAGAAAGTGTTTTGGAAGTCTTATGCCAAGTGGCTAAGGGTACTTGGAGTAGGGTTGAATCCTATACTCTATGTTCTGCATTGCTCAAGTCCTGACAGTACTGAAATACAGTTCCTGAAATGAAGATTAAATAATAAAGCAAATCTAGTGATAGACCTCAGGAACAGATATCTCTATGCTAATGTAATATGCTCTGTCTTATTCACTGCACAATGAAAATCCAGACTTCTGGGTGAGAGTTTTTCTTGTCATCTGTTGAGATACACTAAGATACTCAGCCCTCTAGAAGAATTTTAGAGTTATTCTTGTTCTAGAGAACAAGAAATATATGTTAAAAACTTATCTGAAAATAATCTGTCTTCTCAAGGCAGTCAGTCCAAAAAGACCATTTAGATTGCAACATGCTTTAGGACAATTAGTGAAATGAATGTGCTGATAGTACTAATGATTCATATAGAATCATAGAATCATCAAGGCTGAAGGAGACCTCTAAGATCATTGAGTCAACCATTCCCCTGCCACTCTGCTGTAATCCCTAAACCCTAAACCATATCCTCCAGCATCAGATCCAGATGCCTCAAACACTTCCATGGATGGTGACTCCACCACCCCCCTGGACAATTTATTCCAGTGTTTGATCACCCTAACCATGAAAAAGATTTTCCTAACATCTAATCTGAATCTCCCCCATCTCGGTTTATGATCGTTCCCTCTAGTCCTCTCCCTGCAGGCATGACAGAAGAGACCATCCCCCACCTCTCTATAACCCTCTTTCAGGTAGTTGTAGAGAGCAATGAGGTCACCCCTAAGCCACCTCTTCTCAAGGCTAAACAAACCCAATTCCCTCAGCTGTTCTTCATTTGACATGTTTTCCAGACCTTTTGGGAGCCTCGCTGACCTTTGCTGGACTCAATCCAGGGCCCCAATGCCCTTTATAAATTGAGGGGTCCAAAACTGAACACAGTACTCGAGGTGTGGCCTCACCAATGAAAAGTACAGGGGAATGATCCCTTCCCTTGTCCTGCTGGGCACACTATTCTTGATAGAGGCCAAGATGCCTTTGGCTTTCTTGGCCACCTGTGCCCATTGTTGGCTCATATTGAGCTGGCTGTCCACCAGCACTCCCAAGTCTCTTTCTGACAAACAGCACTCAAACCACTCTTCTCCCAGCCTCTAGCACTACATGAGATTGTTTTATCCCAAATGCAGCACCAGCATTTCACCTTACTGAACCTCATGCAGTTGTCCTCAGTCCACTGAGAAAGTCAGTCCAGGTTTCTCTGTAGAGCTTTCTTACGGTCAGGCAGATCAACACTCCCGCCCAGCTTGGTGTCATCTGCAAATTTACTGATGGTGCACTGAATCTTCATATTCAGATCATCAATAAAGATGTCAAATAGGACCAGCCCCAATTCTGAGCCCTGGGGAACACCGCTAGGGATTTAGCTCCATTAACCACAACTCTCTGGGCCTGGCCATCCAGCTAGTTTTTAACCCATCGAATAGTGCACCCATCCAAGTCAAGAGTATCCAGTTTTTCTAGGAGTGTGCTGTGGGAGACAATGTCAAATGCCTTACTGAAATCCAGACAGACCACATCCACAGCCTTCCCTTCATCCACTAAGTAGGTCATAGAAGGAGATCAGGTTGGTCAAGGAGGACCTTCCTTTCATAAATTCATGTTGGTTGGACTTGATCCCCTGGTCTCCTTGCATGTGCTATGTGATGGCACTCAGGATGATCTCCTCCATGACCTTACCTGAAACAGAGGTTAGGCTTACAGTTCAAGATGTGTGTGAAAATGTCTAGACTTGTGTTCATTCTCCAGAGAGCAAAGGAAGTATTGCCACTCCTAGACATCCTCTTAGGGTCTTCATAATATGACACCATGTCTTCTTCTGTGCTAGGTATCAAAGTTTCCATTATTGATAATGGATATGTAGCCCATTTATTCATTGGGGATTTATGAGTGATTCAATGGTACAACCAACAGAGCCTGTCTTTCTCAGAATGTAATCCTTTCCATGGAATGGCTTGAGCTCCTTGTTCCTGAGTGTACAACATTATCTTTAGGTCTGTTTTTCTCATGTCAATTATTTTGGTCACATTCATGTTTATTCCATATTTTCTTTCAAGAACTCTGATATCAGCTCATACAATAGAATTAAGAATGGATCCTAGGAGGCTCACTAGGGTCCATCTTCTCTGCTAGATACTACTGTGCAATATTTAGATATATTATTCAAGCAGAGTATATAACTGGCTCCTGTTAATGCCATAATTAATCCCTCTTGCAGTAAAATGTGCTGTTGGTGGATTAATTTATTTTGTGGTTGTGTGTAAGACAGCATGATGTTTTGTTGGCCCCTATGGTCCTTGACAGGCTTATTGAATTCCCTTCATTCTTTCTAATATCTCATCCCTACCTGATCTTTCTCTTCCTCTTCCAGTGACGCTTCCAAGGACAGTATCACTCCACATAAGGGGCAGGGGAAGACGGGTGGGTGCTGAAAGATGCACGAAGAGGAAGATGAAGTACCCAGGACAAACTATGGGGTGGTGAGCTTGGTGAACATGGAGGAGGGAATGCCTATTGTTCATCAGCTCTTCTAAGGCCAACTCACTAAAGAAGGGTTGAATAACCCTAAGTTGCCAATCCTGTTTTGGACTTCCTTTAAAACAGGCAAAGACACTTTGCCTCTTTCTGCCCTCAAAGGAATCTGGCAAAAAAAGGCACACACAGCCCAACCTCCCCTGGCTGCCCACAGCCCACCAGCTCACATACAACCCTCAGCTCTCCACCCTCAGTGTGCCTCTGTCTATAACAAGATTATTATCTTGGTTTTGTTATCAGCTGTTCACACAAGACCTCATGGTGCGTGAGCAGTCGGGATGATGGGAGATTTTAAACTGACCTTCTGAGGCCAAGGGAGCAGGTCAAATGTTGTTGAGGGAATTTCCTTCAAAAGTTACATCAGTGTGCTCCTTGACTTGCAGGAAAGGCATGGAGCTTTGGTAATGAAATCAGTTTTTCAAGCTGAAGACTGAGAGTAGGAAATGACTGCAACAGAGCTATATAGTGGAAGCTGTCTGCTTTGCAGAAATTACTAGGATCATTGTTTCAATAATACTCAGCTCATGTGAATAACTCACATTTGGATCCTGAGGAAGAAGCTCCACTTGAGGTGGATCGTGATGCTCCTTTCATGGAGAAAACTCCTTTGCCTCTACGAGTCGTTGTCACAGCCACACGAGGACGTTTCAGTGGAATCACTGCGCGGGGTGGTGGGGGGACACGGCCGTGGTAATCAAACAACCTAGAAAAGATTAAGTCAGCTGGACTCCATAGAACCTTCTGTGATTTCATGTTATGGAAGCCCTGCCAACTAAATTTTCATGTTATCTTTGAGAAAATTACCCTTTGAAACTGTAATCACTTTATATCAAAGTCAAATTAGATTTCAAGGGCCTATGCACATTAAGTGCCTTATTCAGATTTCAGTCACAGACCAGTGCATAGCTCAGATTATTATTATTTTTTTGTGACTTAAATGAAGGATGCATTATGGGAGACTGTTATTTGCAGTATGGAAAATCCATCACCTGCTTTCCACAGGTCCACATCATTTCATTGCACAGAGCCAACATCAGTACATTTTGTTGTGACATTTCAGCTCCTGTATTACATGCATGGCTTAAATTCTAGCTTTCTATCTGCTATCCTTAAAGATGAGAAATTAAAAAAAAAGGAACTTTTCTGAAGGCAACCATCACCATAAAGAAATATCCTGCAGTTTATAAAATAGCAAGAGTCTTTATAGAGAGGGACATGTATCTCCTTCTGAATGCATAGAAAAGAGGTCCCAGCGTATGTTATCTTTATTGAAGAATGAATTAGTGTTGAAACACTAAAATGCCCAAGCATGTTTAATAAAGTACTGCTCCAAGCAAACCCAATGTAACAGGAATATATTCAGAGATTTACCAGTACAGTCAATAAAAGGTACTCTACAACCAGAATGAATTATTGTTCACAAATAGAATAGCCCAATATTAAAAATGCAGTTATCAGTAGCAGATAACTAACCTGTGTAGAAGAAAATAAAGGCAGTAGAAAAAGTAGTCAAAGCTACAGATGTATTTAGAATGTGAAATCTATAGGCTCTAAATATGGCAATTCTAAAGAAGAAAGTTCAGAAAATGAAGATTTTCTGTTCAGAGACTGAAGCAGAGGGGCAAGTAACGTTCTCAAAAATATTCTCAAATTTACTTGCAACTAGTAATTATGGAAATTTGTAAATGCATGTTTAATTTTCACAGTTCTGACTACTGTCATCCAGTTGGGCGGACAGGTACGTGTTTTAAAACAGACACACAAGAAACAGTAGTTCACTCACCACAGTGTCTAACAGCATGCTGAACAGTAAGCAGAATCAAACTTAAATCTTCTAACCCATTTTCTGGCAAGTAAACACCAAGTGCTTAAATCCCAGGATCCTTACTGCTGTCTGTACTGTAATCCTACAGACAATGTAACCATCTCCCTCCTTTTCCATAGCTGTCTACAAAACGTGTCACAGAGATTCTGTCACCCCCACTGAACTTGAGCTCCATAGCCTCAAATATTCTCACAAATAAGCAGTTTCTAGCCATTGTGATCACAACTAAAAAATTGTGTATGAAGGTGAACACTAAAATATTTTTGTGACTTTTCACATAAATACTATTTTTTGTCATCACTCGTCATTTATCATATTGGGTGGTTTGCAAGTTAGTCACAATCTCTTGTTGGCATTACCGGAAAAATGTTTCGAAGAATTGTAAGCTATCATGCAAAAGTTAATTATGCAATTATTCTTCTAAAGGTGATTTTTTTCTAACTTCCAATAGTTCATGTTTGAATAATACGGTGAAATGTGAAACTATGCTTCTTTTTTCTGAAATGTATAAAAGGATTTTTATCTAGCTGTTCCTACTTTTATTTTTAAATTATGCAAAGCTTTTGGGCTTGGCATTTTGTTTTACCAAGTTCTACATATTTCAAAAATATGCTTTCTTTAACAAAAAAAAAGCTTCCTATTATCAGTTTTGAAGTACCTGCCTGTTTAACATGTGCTTGTAATATGACAAATGATAAACAGAAGTGTTCAGTTCTAAAGTATTAGTTTGTCCCAGTAATCACTAATGTGCATATAACTGTGCCTTTTCTTGCACCCACCCTTCTAAAACGTGCAGTCTGGATCTTGCCAATCTGTCATCATGCAGATTTTATTTTACAGCACTAACCATCCTTGTCACCCCTTTCTGACCCCACCACTGCTTTAGTCAAGATAAGATCAATCTACTCTCCCTTCAGGGATGATGGAAAATTAATGAATATTAGAAAACAAGATCTATTGTTTGGGATAAAACACAGAAACTCAGAAAGTTCAGAAGTTCATAAAATTCAAAGAATCATTACTATATTTCTTCATTTGTATTTCCTATAGGCATGTTGATACTTGATATATCAAATTCTCCATGGGATTTTCTTTTCCGTGACTATTATATATAGCTTTTCATCTGCTTTCACTAACTTGTTTTTAACAGAGATCATTAGCCTCCTAAGGTTTGTATTGTCAAAAGATCAGCATGTCCAGCCTTGTGAGGCCAATCTCATATTTAGGTTTTCTACCATTAAAGTTCTGCTGTCTTAATCCTGAAAGATTTCTAAATCAGAACATTATGCTATTGAATAGATATATGGATACATTTCACTGTCAGTGGCTTTGCATAATAAGACAATCACCAAAACAGGCATCAAGTTCCAAAAACAACTTCTAATGCCCCATAAGTATTTCTTTTGTTGTGGAAATGTAATCATTATAGTTACTCATTTGTGCTACCCATAATACAAAGAATTAGGGGAAAATAGTAAATATATAACTTTGGTGTTCAGGTGGCATAGATCAGAAACATTAATCCTTAAAAACATATAAATCCACGGATGAAATTTTGAGCAGTAACCTTGGGAAAATGAAGTGCAAGTCTATGGAAGTTAACTTTCTACAGGACATGAGCTGTTCCTGCTTTAAAGACTGGACTGGGCAGGATTACACTGCATTGATGGTTGTTACTCTATATGTTTATATCTCACTATTTTTAGCTTTGTCCAAAGGCAGCATGGTCACTTACATGCAAAAACAAAACTAGTGGCTCAAATTGAATCAATCCGAGGAAAAACAAGCTCAAAAATTATTATTTCAAAATTTCTTTTTACCGTGTTCCTAAGCAGAAAGCTATATAGCACATGCTACTTTAACTTCAGGGTGTAAACTGTTCCCCTGCTATTGTCCACTCCTTTACATTAAAGAAGTCTCAGCTCAGAAGAGGTTGGTAGAGCAATGTTCTGTTCCCCTCTGATTCATTTGGCCTGTGCTAAACGAAGCTGCTGTAACACAGACAGAGCACTGCTGGATCATGGGTTGGTTGTCTGCAATCATTCATACTATCCCTGTGTTGTGGGGATTCTGCAGCATCTGAATGAATAAATTTTCACAGTGCTGAACTAAGCTGTGTGTAGGTACTCAAGGCAGAATCTGCAATTGCTCAGGAATCCACACTTGCATTTCTCATATAGGAACATACCTGCTGTTCAACTTGGCCTTTTTTTCCCCCCTTAAAGTCCTTCCATATTTCTAAATGTTCTTGGAACATTTTTGAGGAGATATTCTATATCTTTTCATACAAATAAATGAAAAGACTTTGACATGAATGTCATACTGAAGAATTTTACAGCTGCTATATGTTGCAGGGAAAGTAGGCCTGGAAGTGCTCTGTAGGAAGAAACACTGAACTGCTAAACTATCATTAAACTGTTCAGCACAGAAAATGCCCCAAAAGCTTTTAGAGAAGGATAAGGCCAAAAGAGCTGTTAAATAAGCATGCATTTGGTGGCAGAAATCTTCTCTATTTGTGGTATATTCAAATAGTCTTCCAATACACAATGGAAATAATGAAATGAATAATACGTAAAATCAGAACTGACTTGTTTAACCAAATGATAGGATTGCATTATAAATAAGCAGTAGAAATGGTGTAGAATGTACAAAAACATAACAACACATACCGATTGTAGAAATCATCTCTGTAGTAATCATAATCAAAGACATAACCACTGTGGAAAAACACAGAAAAACAAGAATGAACTGGTTTGTAGAAAAATGCACATTGATTAATACTTCTGTGGTAATATTGCCTTAATCTCGAATTTCAATCTCTTCTTCAAAGTCCTTTCACTTCTTTTCCATAACCATACGCTGCACATTATGTTTGTCAATGCTGTTGTCAGCTATTACAGTAGTATATTTGGAAATGTGAAGTCTGGGGCATGCAGAACAGTGTAAACAGTTGACAGCACACATAGAAAGGATTTAACACAGCATGACAGCTCTGTAATTAGAGAATCATTATAGTGTAATTCTCTGAGTGATCAAATGAAATGAGCACTCTAATACTGACACCCTCTTCTTTGCTGGGCTAACATAGCATAATCAGTGGACTAGGAAGACTGTTAAATGCATGAAAGATTTGTAAGTGTATAAGTAAGTGAGCAGAGTTAAGATAATAACTTTGATTTATGAGAAATATGAAAAGGGTTGGAATGTTTGCTGGTCCTTGAGTCCACCAAATCTTTTTTCATCATAAAGAGAAAAAGTAAAAAGTTAGGAATATGAATGCTGCAAGCAATAGTGTTACAGAGATGCATTTCCTCTCAGGTTCAGAAAGAAATATATATACCAATCTGGGAATAGACAGGCACCATCAAGGGAATAAAACATGGGTAGGAGACTGCAAAGGTCCAGAAGAAAACTAGTTTTGTGCTGTCAATTGTAAAGTCAATCCTAGATTGATCTTCCTAGTTTTGCATTCCATTAGCAACTTTTTACCTTTATGGTGAAGAAGTGGCAATGAAGTCTTATCTATATTGCACACACCCAAAAAAACCCCAAACTAACAAAGCAAAGAGCTAATAAGTGCTCTGCATGGAAAAGCTATAAGGGTTATTACTCTGCCTGATGAAGGACTAGTAACACAAACCCTAAGTTTTTCACTGGCCTGAGAAGGACAATTATGAATAGTAAAGGTGACAAGCATGAAGAGAGTATCACAAAAAAGGAGAAACTTTAAATGAGAGGTAGAGTTAGAAAGGACAAAGCACAGAAGAACACATTCCCTGAAAAGGGAGATCATAGAATGATAGAGTGGTTTAGGCTGGAAGGGACCTTAAAGATCATCTAGTTCCAGCCCCCCTGACATGGGCAGGGACACCTGAATGATGGCAGCAATATATTGAAGAAGTTTGTCTTCACAGAGACTGGACTCCTGGATAATTTCTGCTCTTGAACATTGAACAAAGTATCTTCAGGTTATTTTTGTAAGCATAATTTGAAGAATGGGTCAAGAATTCTATCAAAATGGGTCTGGGGGACAATTTCCACCTCTACCACATCTGCTTCTGATGCAAATGCCCAAGTCAACTGATAGGATACATTGTACTGTCTGTCTGCATGTCACTGGACCTGAAGCTGAAGATTGTGTAACTCACCAGCTGAGAAAGCTGATGTTTCTGTATCTCACCTTAATGAAAAACTAGTAAAATTTTTCCTAAACTATGTGACAGCTTCTATTTTTTTCTTTCACTCTAGATCCAGTCTGCATGGAACTAAGAGGTAGCAGGTAGCAAAGCTATTATTTTATTTACAGCTATGCACAGCTTCCTAGTGGTTTTATTTAGCTGAATGATTAATAGCTGCAGTAATCCCATACTTAATATTCAATATGTGTTTTTAAGTAGAAGATAACAGACTATTTGAAGAAAAAAGATTAAATTTAAAAGCCCTGTCACATGAAACCTTTCACCTGTGGTTGACATTAATTTAATTTGCATAAAGACCAGACAAATTCAGTTTTTCAAGGCTGAAGACCACAAAGCTGATGAAGAATAATTTACTTTGCACCAGATAGAGTAAGGCTGAAGGACAAATAGATTTTTCTGTAGTAACTGAGCTCTGGCCCACAGAACACAATAAGGACTGTTGGCCCTTCTCTGGGTTTTCAGTGTGAAACTTACTTTTCATGTACAAATGTGATGACAGAAAGGCTTAAAGTCATCCCTGGAGCTGATGGCACTGATGGGTCATAGGAAGGAAAGACGTCTCAGGCAGAGATCTGAGTGTGCCCTGAAACGTTTGTAGGCTTGAGCGGTCGGGAAAACCTCTCAGGTTCCTCAGATGAGCGTAGCTGGGGTCAGAGGAGGTTTTGGGAAGGGAAATGCAGGAAATGGTCTCTGTTGTAGCAACTGATTGTTTCTCTCCTTCCCTACCTTCTGCTCTCACTCTGCCATTCTACCATTGAGGAGATCCTGTGACACATCATTCTTCACACGGAATACTTTTATATTGTTGAAAAAATGTGGCTTTTTAAAATTTTTTAATTTAGTCTAACACCTTAGATAATACTTCTCTTTTGAGGGAAGCAGTGTTTCCCATAAGGGAGCCCCTAAGAGTTTCATTCTTTTGCTCTGTTCCCTCCTCAGATAACTTCTGTCTGGAAACTGAACTTAGTTCTTTATGTTCCTTCAGCTTTGCAAATGAGAGCTTCAACCTACATTAGGGATCAGAGCAGCAATAAGAAGTACATTTGGGAGTCTGGCTATCACATGGCAGTATAATCTATGAATTTTTGGAAATTTTTTTGGGTTGCTTATGTTACCTTTTAAAATATGTAATTGCCTCAGAAACATCTGATTCTGTTATTATGTCTTTAATTTTCACCCAAAGAAACCCCAGTGGTTTTCTTGTAGTGTTTTACAGCTGAAGATATATAAATAACTCTGCTACAGATGTTACTCCTAACCTTAAATTTAGGTGCATTGTGTTTAGGTGCATGGTTTAGTTCAGTAGCATCCATTGCTACCCAGATAAGACATAACTGCAGGTGTTCTGTGTGTTGCATGTCAGTCAGTCTCTGAAATAAGCATACACATGGTTTTAGCTTCAACAAACAGTATCCAGTTTTTCCTTCTTATCCACCTCTCTGTCAGAAGGTTACTGCCCCCATGACTGCATATAAATGCAAACATTTGTGGCTCCTAACGATGCAATCTGCTAGGACAATCAATAAACTAAAAGCATTTGATTCATTTATATTTTTAGCCTGAATTTATTGTAAATGAAATTCTCACAATTCAAGGGCACCCCTGTTAATTAAGTCCTTTTCCTAAATTATGGGTGCTAGGAGCTCCAGCAGGAAGTGAGGAGAGAATCTTTGCTTTTCCCACAGACCATTTGGGATCGTGCTGCACTGGCAAAAGGCATTTCTGTGTAAAAGTGCCATTTATATGGAGCAGGAAACAGATGGTTCTGTACAGAAACTCCTTATCTGGGACCACTGTCCAAGATGCAGCAACAGCTACTTGACCATCAATGTATGAATAGCACCCAGAGGTACTAGAGATGGATGTGTTGCTATGAGCTCTCAACAGAGCAAGGGCCTCAATTCCATTTTTCCTCTCTCATTACTCAGTCACCTGGAAGAAAGCTGATAGAATTCAAGTGTTGATCTGTGCATGGATGAAAGAAATTTATTGTTCCATGCTATATATTAAAATAACAGAAGAAGAATTGTACTGTAGGACCTTATCTGTAGGTGTTGACCCTTATGGAATAAGACAAGTAAAGGAGAGTGGCTTTAAAGCTTTGGGGAATCTTGATGTGGATCCTTCTTTATATCCATAATCTGGGTCTATTTTTCTCTCTTTGAAATTCTAACTGTAATTACAGGCAAAGCAGAGGCAACCTAGAGTAGCTCCTGGGGTTGTGTCCTTCACTGGTACTGCTGAGTTCACAGTGACAGCCCGCAGACACAACACATCACGTGAGACCCTTAGAATCATAGAATAGTTTAGGTTGGAAGGGACCTTTATAGTTCATCTAGTCCAATCCCCCTGCAATAAGCAGTTGGTTTTTTCATTTGTAATAATATGTTGAAGAGATTATAGTGTGAAAGCAACCAGTATACCTCTCCATCCACAGCCATAATTGTTCATACTTCTGCATGCCAAGGGACAGACATAAGCTATGGTCAATGTTGCTGTATAAAGCAAAGCAAAAAATTAGCACAGATAATCACTGGCCCTGAGATCAAGGTGATTGCAGGGCTCTCAACCTCTGGAGAGTTATTCCTTAGCAAACCAACAACCTGTGTTTTGGAGGCTGCAGGAAACCATTCGTATGGTGTTGAATCCCAAATACTCAGCAGGTCAGAGCAGAGAAAGGTTTAAACGAGCCTGTGAACTGGTGGAGTCAGCAGTTTCCTAATGGCACTGTAAACAGGCAGATTACTTACCCACAAACATATGCCATCTCTGCAATATTAACAACAGAACTGTGTGCATGATGCTGCTATTAAAGCAGAAGACAGTAAAAGACACACTGAGGGAGAGAAAACTCATCAATAAAGTGTGTTTGTGCTTAAGCAAAAATCATGATTCCTTTTTCTCACACAGTGTCATCAAGATAATCTTGTACGAGCTGTCTCTTTTAGATTCACTTAACACTATGCCTGTTTTAAATTGTATATGCCTGAAGAATAAAGGATTCCCCAAGAACCATATTTTCAGAGTTGTGATGCTGTATGTATTCAAGTTCCTATGCATATCTGCAGTTCAATGGCAAATACAATATTATGCTTCTGCATCTTTGAAATAAACCTATGGATGTCATTACATCTTTATGTATATGATGTTGAAAACCTATCACTAAAGTGTAATCCTTCTTGCATTCTGTGCACTATGCCCACAAAAGATTTTTATAAATGGTCACATCCTGGTTTGATCCCGTTCACTCCAAACGCTACTGAGTGCAACTAACTTCAGTGGGGTTACTCTAACTTTACAATAGTTAATGCAGAACAGTGAAGACATAGCTTTTGTTATTTTCATGGCAACAAGAATTTCTGTCTTGCATGTAAGTTAGCCTTAGCTAGTATTTCTTTTTCTTTCCACAGGTACAAAGATGTATTTGCGAATCATAAATGTTGACAAACCGGGCATAATATATCTTAATTCAATTGACAGTGCTATCACCATTTATACTGTCATTGCTTCTCTGCTGT